AAAGGAAATCCCAGAATAGGATCCATAGGTTTTTGTGCATCCTCAGATAGGCATTTTAACTTTTGAAACGGCCTTTTTCATTAGAACCGCAGTAGTTCTCCGAGTACTCCAATTAGGCGGCAAAAAGAAAGAAAACCATTTGGGGGTCACTTTCAATTCAATATGCTGATACTTCTTTTTCCTTTTTAGTGAAAAGACAGTATGACAGGGCTTGGCAAATTACACGATCTCTTTTTGTGTATACGTTTTATGGAAGCAGTCATGCCCGTTCACTTATACATTGTTTATGGCTGCCTTCACTCTACAACACAGGGCAGAGCGGAGCAGTGCAACAAAGAGGGCTTGGTTCACAAAGTCTAAAACAGATACTATCTGGCTCTCCCCATCATACATGTTTCTATGAAAAAAGTTGGCAGACTCCTGCAATATAACGTTGAAGAAGCGATTTAAAAAATAACTCTCCATTTCATCACATATGTGTATACATTTTTTTTTCGGAGTTGCAAACAATCAGTTACATGTTTTTTTGACTTCTAACACTTTGACTTAAGGTAGTGGACATTTCTAATCTTTTAATATTTATTTTGGTAATTTTTGATGGCTACATAGTATTTTGCCATGATAATGTATAGTTATATATAATCATTTATTGAACTTTTACGTTGGTCATTGGCCTTGATTGCATTTTAAAATTTTTTAATTTTATGTATTTACTTACCTTAGAGACAGGGTCTCACTACGTTGCCCAGGCTGGTCCCAAACTCCTGGGCTCAAGCAGTTTTCCCACCGCTGTCTGGCAGGTAGCTGGGGCTACAGGTGTGTACCACCATGCCTGGCTAATTTTTAGAACTTTAGGTCCTGTTGTGGACCTATATTTGTGTACTTCTTAAATTATTTTCTGAAAATACATTTCTGGGCATGGATTACTGGGTTTAAAATGAGGCGGGAAGAGGTTATCCTCATGTCTCTTGCCTTGTACTAAGATTTTGTTTTTTAAAAAGATTGTATCAGTTTGTATCATCAACAGTGAGTAAGTATTACAGTTTGTACCATATCTTATGAACATTAGGAATTGGCTTTTAAATTTAAAAAATACAGTATGTAGCTTTATCCATCAGGACACCAATTATCTTTGTATAAAATGAGAACAGCATGTCTGTTGGAATTGTCCAGGGAAATGAGGGAGAAAAAAAATTTACTTTCACATTTTAACTTTTGTGGGCCCTGGGTGCTTTTGCCTTTGTAGATTCCTTATACCATAAAAAAATTAAAAATTTAAATTTTATGACTACCCTGATATAAAGATGAATACATTAAATGATGTATGAAAATATTTTCTTCTACCTAAAAGTGAGGTTTTTTTAGGTCTGAAGATTGTAAAAGACAAAACTATTTACATGGGTCCCTAAAAAGTGTTGTGGGCCCTAGGCACTGTCCCTGCAGTACCCAGTGGGAAAAGTTGGCCTTATCTACTACTGTGCTTTTTGAGGCTGGGAAAACTTAAGAGTTTTTTGACTTATAATGGGAAAGAGAGTGTTAATCATGCAAGGTCTATTACAGGAAATATAATTCCTAAAGTCCGTCTTGTAATTTAGTGAGAAATTAGGAAGCTGTTTTAGATTTTTTTTTCCCCAGAAATATTAAGTCACTGAGCTAGATAGCCTATTTAAGGAAACGTAGAATTAAAATAAATTTATAATGTGCTTTCTAGATGAAATAAGAATTTTGGTCACTTGCTTTTCTCCCTCCACATTAAACACCAAACAGGTATCCTGATGTGCAGGCTCGAGTGCAGGCAGAATTGGATCAGGTCGTGGGGAGGGACCGTCTACCTTGTATGGATGACCAGCCCAACCTGCCTTATGTCCTGGCCTTCCTTTATGAAGCCATGCGCTTCTCCAGCTTTGTGCCTGTCACCATTCCTCATGCCACCAATGCCAACACCTCTATCTTGGGCTACCACATTCCCAAGGACACTGTGATTTTTGTCAACCAGTGGTCTGTGAATCATGACCCAGTGAAGTGGCCTAACCCGGAGAACTTTGATCCAGCTCGATTCTTGGACAAGGATGGCCTCATCAACAAGGACCTGACCAGCAGAGTGATGATTTTTTCAGTGGGCAAAAGGCGGTGCATCGGTGAAGAACTGTCTAAGATGCAGCTTTTTCTCTTCATCTCCATCCTGGCTCACCAGTGCAATTTCAGGGCCAACCCAAATGGCCCTGAAATGAATTTCAGTTATGGTCTGACCATTAAACCCAAGTCATTTAAAGTCAACGTCACTCTCAGAGAGTCCATGGAGCTCCTTGATAGTGCTGTCCAAAAGTTACAAGCTGAGGAAACTTGCCAATGAGAAGCAAGAGGCAAGCTCAAATTTTAGAAATACTCACATCTTCGGAGATGGGGAGTAAAATTCAGTTTTTTTCTAGTTCCACTTTTGTGCTGCTTCTCAATTAGCCTTGAGGGTGAGCATAAACCAACTGTTCGTCAGGTGAGGTGTGCTCCATACCCAGTGGTTCTTCATGAGTAGTAGGCTATACAGGAGCTTCTGGGAGATTTTTTTGAGTCAAAGACTTAAAGGGTCCAATGAATTATTATATGTATACTGCATCTTGGTTATTTCTGAAGGTAGCATTCTTGGGAGTTAAAACGCACATATAGACACATACACCCAAACGCTTACACAAAACTATTGAATGAAGAAGTATTTTGGTAATCAGGCCATTTTTGGTGAGAATACAAGATTGGTCTCCCATATGCAGAAATAGACAAAAAGTATATTAAACAAAGTTTCAGAATATATTGTTGAAGAGACAGACACAAGTAATTTCAGTGTAAGTTGTGTGATTGAAGGTGATAAGGGAAAAGATAAAGACCAGAAATTTCCTTCTCACCTTTTCAGGAAAATAACTTAGACTCTAGTATTTATGGGTGGATTTATCCTTTTGCCTCCTGGTATACTTCCTTACTTTTAAGGATGGATCATAAAGTCAGTTGCTCAAAAAGAAATCAATAGTTGAATTAGTGAGTATAGTGGGGGTTCCATGATTTATCATTAATTTTAAAGTATACATTGTTAAATTGTAAAACTCCAAGCTGATGTTGTACCTCTCTTGCTTGCCAAAGTACAGATTTTCAATTATGAGCAAAGGAAAAAAAAAAAAAAAAGATTACCAGCCCAATCAAGCTTTAAATTATGTGACTGTAGTGTACTGATTTCAGTAAGTCTCATAGGTTAAAAAAAGTCACCAAATAGTATGCAATATATTACTTAATTGTCCATAAGCAGTATAGTAGTTTTATCTTGTTCAGGAAAAGGTTGAATAATATATGTCTTGCATAATATTGCAAATTGAAAAGTACAACCAATGCAACCAAGTGTGCTAAAAATGAGCTTAATTAAATCAACCACCTATTTTTGACATAGAAATGAAGCAGGGTCTCTTCTTCACCCAAATTTTGGCAAATCTCAAAGTTAGATCCTAAGATGTGATCTTATTTTTATACAGTCTTTATTGAAATTCTATTATAATACAGAATCTCGTTTTGAAAATAACCTAGTTAATATGTTAAAATTCCAAATTCATGGCATACTTAAATTTTAACTAAATTTTGAAACCATTCTGATTATCGAGTTCCAGTTGAAGTTAGTGGAAATCTGACCATTATCCTGTGGAAGGCAGAGAAATGTAAGCTGTGTCTGCCCAATGAATAATGGAAAATGCCATGAATTACCTGGATGTTCTTTTTACGAGGTGACAAGAGTTGGGGACAGAACTCCCATTACAACTGACCAAGTTTCTCTTCTAGATGATTTTTTGAAAGTTAACATTAATGTCTGCTTTGTGGAAAGTCAGAATCAGAAGATAGTCTTGGAAGCTGTTTGGAAAAGACCGTGGAGGTGAGGTCAGTTGTGTTTTTTAAGATAGCAGTTACTTTGGTAGCTGGGAAAGCATAAAGCTCAAATGAAATGTATGCATTAACATTTAGAAAAGTGAACTGAAGTCTCAAGTTTTAAATTTCATTGCAATTAAACTTCCAAAGGAAGTTCTACAGTGTCCTAAGTGCTAAGTGCTTATTACATTTTGTTTAGCTTTTTGGAATCTTTGTACCAAAATTTTAAAAAAGGGAGTTTATGATAGTTGTGTGTATGTGTGTTGGGGGGTGGGTGATGGTAAGAGAAAAGAGAGAAAGACTGAAAAGAAGGAAAGATGGTTAAACATTTTCCCACTCATTCCTAATTAATTAATTTGGAGCACAAAATTCAAAGCATGAACATTTAGAAAAAAGATGTTTGGCGTAGCAGAGTTAAATCTCAAATAGGCTATTAAAAAAGTCTACAACATAGCAGATCTGTTTTGTGGTTTGGAATATTATAAAATTTCATGTAATTTTATTTTAAAATTTCATAGCTGTACTCCTTGAATATAAAAAATCATGCCAGTATTTTTAAAGGCATTAAAGTCAACTACAGAAATCAGGCTTGCCCAATACATTTAAATTTTTTGGCACTTGCCGTTCCAAAGTATTATGGCCCAGCAAGGCTGAGACAGTGAATCTGGGCTGCTGTAGCCTATTTTCTTAGACTGAGAAATGTATAGCAGCAAAATTAATCATGAACCAATCTGGATGCCTCATGACGTCAACCAGGTCCAGATGTGCTGCAATTTGTTTTTATGTAGGTAGGCCCAGTCGTCATCAGATGCTTGCGGCAAAAGGAAAGCTGTGTTTGTATAGAAGAAAGTAAAGTGCTTGGAGGTTACCTGGCTTATTTAGTATGTTTATAATCTAGTTAAAGAAAGGAAAGGAAACAAAAAACAAATAAAAATAACTGAATTTGGAGGCTGGAGAAATAAGATTACTGCTTTAATCAGAAAGCCTCATTGTATTTCTACAGGAGAGAGAATGTATTTGCTGACAACCATTAAAGTCAGAAGTTTTACTCCAGGTTATTGCAATAGTTAAAGTAGAATGTTTATTAAATGCTTCATTTGTATGTCAAAGCTTTGACTCTGTAAGAAAATTGCTTTTTTCCAAAACAAAAAGATGTCTCAGGTTTGTTTTGTGAATTTTCTAAAAGCTTTCATGTCCCAGAACTTAGCCTTTACCTGTGAAGTGTTACTACAGCCTTAATATTTTTCTAGTAGATCTATATTAGATCAAATAGTTGCATAGCAGTATGTGTTAATTTGTGTGTTTTTAGCTGCGACACAACTGTGTGATTAAAAGGTATACTTTAGTAGACATTTATAACTCAAGGATACCTTCTTATTTAATCTTTTCTTATTTTTGTACTTTATCATGAATGCTTTTAGTATGTGCATAATAGCTATGATGCATAGTTGTAACCAAAATATATTCTGGGGAAACAACATTTATATATAGCTTTTACTGTTTGATATACCAAATTTAAAAAAAAATTGTATCTCATTACTTATACTGGGACACCATTACCAAAATAATAAAAATCACTTTCATAATCTTGTTACGAAGTTTCATTTTATGTTGTAGCAAATATAGTCTAATGCATCACTTTATTTCAACTGTTGCTATGGATTATTCATTAAAATATTGCACTGTAAACATTTTATTTGTCCATTCTACATTTCAGGCCGAGGCTGCATGCTTTTTGTTCCTGTAGGTTTTCATCAACCAAATTTCTAATCTCTATATTTTTTAATTTCTAAGAACCAACACAGAAGTTACATTTCAATGCAAACAATCAAGCCAAATGAGAATTAATTTGCAATGTTGAAAGATTGAATAGATTGCGACTTTAAGTTGCTGATCGACTTCTGCTTCATCTAAAGAATGCAGTACACATTTTTCTTCCTCAGCCGCACACCAGTCCTTTCTCTGAGTATTTTCTTCCTTAATTTTTTTAAAGGTACATGTGCCTTAATAAGTGCAATTAATGTCCAATAAAATAAGATGGGTACAAGTATTCTGTCATGTACTATGTGAAAATATTTTATTGCCAATCTTTTTGCTTGGTAAAAAGACTTGACTTCACAGGGCCTAGGTCATGAATCTCTAGGCCTTCACTGCGCCAAACTCACCAATGATAGGGCTTGCGGTACCAAAGGCTCTTTGTCTTCCAGACTACAGCTCCTATTACTGTGAAAACAGGAAAAGAAGTAAAAATTGCACACAATGGCATTGATACTTTGGCTTGGGAACCTCACTTTAGCAGCCAGAAGGTATGGCTATGAAGTGGTTTAAGATAATACTCACTAGTTTTCCAGATGTATGACAGTAGGATCTTGGAAATGTCAGGACAGTTCAGAAAAAGTGAAGAAAATATTTTCATGGGAAAAAGATTCCTTTAAATAATTATAACTGGGGCCAGTTTTTGCAAAATTGTCGAGGAGAGTTGGAGTCTACCCAATCAATCCAACAGAGTATAAGAGCGGAGTACAGGGTGGGAAATGAATGCAGCTTTGGACGTAAGACAGGCGTGGTTGTTGGAAACTCACAGAGACTATTTCTTCAACCTCAGAGCCAGTCTATTTTTCTGCACCAGTGCAACAGAAGTTAACTGACTTTAACTCTCCGGTTTTTGGCTCAGTGACTCTCACATGCTCTCTACTCTCCCGTTTCAGTCTGTTAGTTATAAATCGCAGAAAGGGAAAAGGAAAGAAGACAAAAATTAAATATATTCAAATACATTCAAAAGCAATTTTTTTAAACTTGGAATTGTGGAGGAAAATAATCTAGTTTACATAGGTATGGACACACTGTAGGTAACTGTTCATGCTTGTAGCTCCTCTGCTAAGCGACATACAGGCTTTGAGGACAAATGCTGTGCTCTTCATGCACACTTTACAATGTGTGTCAGGTATGGAGGGAAGAAATGGAACTAAAATATGTTGAGCACTTACAGTTTTTGCATCACTGTGCTAAACTCTCTAATGCATTATTGCCCAACAGTCTTCTGAGGGATGCAATAAAGTAATGGGCCAAAATTATAGATTTAGAAGTATTCTCATCCAGATTTTCCCTGGAGATGAACTAATTCAAAGCCCATTATCTTTGTACCCTAGTTTGTCCCTTCCCAATGTGCCTGTGCTTGGATTTACAGGGTAGTCCGTCTATTTTTTAGGCCATGAGATCCTGGGAGTTTCGCAAGCAATTTACTTTCTTTGTCTAAGGCACATTCCACACTACAGTCAGGGAGTAACTGACATTGTGCGGGAATCCTCACCACACTGCTCTCTTCTGAGAAAAACCTCTTGAAACTGTTCTTTAGGCAAAACCAAAAATCGACCAAACAGTCACGCTTTGTCTTATAATCCTAAAAGTTCTGTCCTAGAACCTGTCTGGACCAAGGATCCTTGCTGGAGCCAGGGCCGTCCTTAGGCTGGTCCAGTTTCCTGGTACGTGGCCTGTTTGTCTGATAGCGGTGCATCACACTAGGTGTTGGTGTGTGTGGCTCATCAGAACCCTTCCGTCTCTCAGAGCCTGTGAGCACCAGCCAGAGGGAGAGGAAGAACCAAGGCACGAAACAAGCTTTTTGATGGGAAGCTTGCCTTTGCAAACAGAATGACTGGACCTACTAGAACTAGTTTTGAATCACTTGAGGCCCCTTTAGGTGAGACAATGTTATACAGAGGAAGCCTAACAGCACTGAGATCCCTTTGGGTCAAAGCTAAGAGTCATTGAGCAAGCCTGAAAAATCAGCCAGCCTCCTTTTTTTTTTTTTTTTTTTTAATTTATTCCTGTTTCCTTGTTTGTTTCGCTCTCTCTCAATGGATAAATATTACAATATGCTTAATGTGCACTTTTTGTTTACGTGTTCCAGCAAAATTTGTATTGTTGTTTTGCATATATATGTTCTACTTTATGTAAGTGCTGTACATATCTCATCCTGTCGCTTAATCTTTTCTCAGCTCCATCCCTGTGTAATTCCATAGCTTCTAGCTGCTGCCTAGTATTCCATGGTACTCATCCACCACATTTTCTCTATCCACTCTCTTGGGAATAGACACCTGGATAACTTCCAACTTTATGAGTCCCTAAATGATGCAGCAAGGACCAGCTTGGAATGTGTTTCCTTGCCCTCCTGTGTAAACTTTGTAATGTATGCCATACCCATGATTAGAAGTGTTGGGTCAACAAGTGAGTACGTATGTAATTTAAATATTGTATCTTCTCCAGAATGCCAAATCTGTCCACACTCCCATCAGCTGTGCATGAGGGGAAGCTGTACCCATTTCCCCACCAACACATGGCATGACCTCTTTATTTTTAAATGAAATATATCCTCTTGGGAGAGAGATGCATTACATAGAATTTTTTTTTTTTTTTTAACGAGGAAAAAGACATCTACACTCATTTTTCAATGCTTCCCATAGCCATATTTGTGTTTACATTATATCTCCACTATTCAATGGTATATTCATTGAAAAGCAGGGACTAAGTCCCAACAATTTTGTTATGGAACCATATTGTATATACAGAAGCACGGGTGAAAAAAGTGGAGTGAGTTTTGTCAAGCCTGCTTCTCAGCACTGATGATCTCTTCACCTTCTCCATGACTCAGTTTTCAACTGGTACCCTTGAAGTCTAACCTGTTTTTTTTTTTTTTGTTGTTGTTGTTGTTTTTTTGAGATGGAGTGTCGCTCTATCACCCAGGTTGGAGTGCCGTGGTGCGATCTCAGCTCACTGCAAACTCTGCCTCCCAGGTTCAAGTGATTCTCCTGTCTCAGCCTCCCGAGTAGCTGGGACTACAGGCATACACCACCATGTCCGGCTAATTTTTGTATTTTTAGTATAGATGGGGTTTCACCATGTTGGTCAGGCTAGTCTTGAACTCCTAATCCACCCGCCTTGGCCTCCCAAAGTGCTGGGATTACAGGCATGAACCACCACGCCTGGCCCCGAATCTCAGTTTCTTCTCCTTGCTTGCGAATTGAGCTTATTCAAGGTTTTTAGGTTTCTGCTTAGTCACTACGAAGAAAGCAGAAATGCCAACTCAATGGCTTCCAATTTTTTAAACCATAACCTCACAGTATGCAATATATTTTACATGATTTAGTACATATCTCTGCATATGATTGTGTGTACTTCATAATGTATATGTATCTATGTATGTATATATATACATACACATACACACACACAAACAGGATTCACTGTTGTTATCTGTGATGGAATATATTTTTAAATTTTTTTCATAAGAAATGCAGCACAGTGAAAGACTACTACAAACCTATCACAGTGGCTAAATTTTTAGAAAAATGACAAAACTGATAATATATACCAAGTTCTGGGGAGGATGTGAAACTACTGGAACTTTCATACATTGCTTGGGGGAGTGCAAAATGCTACAGTATGACCCCACTCCTGGGTATGTATCCTAGAGAAATGAAAACACATTCACACAAAAGCTATACATGAATGTTTACAGCAGCTGCATTCATCATGACCTCCAACTGAAAACAACCTGAATTTCCTTCAAAGGGCAATTAGTTATACAAAAATCTGCTACATCCATGCAATGGAATACTACTCAGCAATAAAAAAGAATGAACCACTGATATACACCACAAGTCGAATGAATCTCAAGAGAATTATGTTGAGTAAAATAAGTTAGCTTCAAAAGGTTACACACTGTACAATTCCATTGCTATGACAGCCTCTGAGAGACAAAAGTGTCATGATGAAGAGTAGATCAGTGGTTGTCAAGGGTTAGAGGGGAGGGAGGGTACTACAAAAGGATAGCCTGGTGGAGTTTTGGAAGGTTTTCTGATTGTGGCAGTGGTTACATGGATGTATACGTGTGTTAAAATTCACACAACTACACCAAAAAGTGATGAAAAGTGATTGGAAAAAATGTTAAAGGGGAAATGGTGCAAATGAACTTAAGTGAAGCTGAACTGAAGTTGGCAGGTAGCACGACAGCTGCTGGCAGACAAGGAAACGAGATGGCAACACTGAACAAAGAAGGTCAAGCCCGGAGGTGTGAACAAGGATCATGACCTGTGCTGAAGTCCTTGCAGGAGAGGTAAAGTGGTGCCAGATTCTCAGGGCAGAACAGGAGGCAGAACACCAGCCTTTGGGATGAGCAACAGCTGGAACCTCCCTGCCAAGGCAATTTTAATTCAATGTCATAAGTGTTAATTGAGCACCTGTTAGTAAACAGACACTGTTTAGGACACTGATGATATATTAATGAACAAGGCACCCAGGCCCTGACCTCGTGGAGCTGATATTCTAGTGGGATGGGTGGCAGGAGAGAAAATAAGATTTCAGTTAATTATAAGTGGTGTGTATGTGTGTGCGTGTGTGTGTGTGTACTGTGTGTGAAGGGGCACTGTTTAGAATGAGTAGTCGGGGAAGCCTTCCTGAAGGAGGCAACACCAAGGCGTGGGCATTAAGGACAAGCTTCTTCTTACATCCTCCCCATGTGAAGGAAATACAGGCCCTGAGTTATCAGATAATATAATTACCTTAAAAAAGAGATGGCTGCAATTCATTAAATTGATTTTTATGGTCACAAAATCAGGGCAGTCTGAAGTCAAATAATCTCAGCGCACTCCATGGCAGATGACATTGGCCCATAATCAGCATTGGCTTCTGGCTTGACCGATGGCATTGGTGGGTCCAGACCATTCCCTGCCATTGACTCCTGAGCTCATTCCTAGCCATGTTCCCCTTGGAGAACTGAAGCAAATCTGACACCTCAGGGCCTACATTTCCTTCACATGGGGAGGATGTAAGAGGATACTTGTCCTTAATGCCCACTCCTTGGTGTTGCCTCCTTCAGGAAGGCTTCCCTGACTACTCATTTGCTCCTGAAGAATAACCAGAGAACAGGCTCTTGGAACTAACATACTTTTCAACAATGCCTTTACATGTAATTTAAAATGGCCTGCTGATTCTTTAATTTTAAGTGCACCAAAGGACTCCACATTGATTCTTTTAAGCAATTAATGGAACTTCTCTTAGAACATTTTCTAGACTATGTCTAGTCTTTGAGTCAAAGTTTTATTATATCTGATTGAAAAGGATTTCCACCCTCATCCCAGTGGGGTTGCTGAGAAAAGCAGGCGGCCTCATGTTCTGTTTGGGGGATCTCCTTCCCTGGTGGTGTGCTGTGTAGCCAGCATGCTTTCCTGGCTGTCTCTAACTTTGTTGTTTAATCCCACAGCCCTTGGCCATTATCTAGGCCTTTGGACCCCACAAGTCAGGTCACATCAGCTTTGAGAGCACCACTCAGCTCCCATACCCACAGTATTGAAAGCTGCTGTTGTCCACTGGATCTGGTGGATGTTTGAGAATCCCAGGATGCTCTGAGTTTGTCTTTCCTGCACCTCCCCTGTCACTCTCCCTGCTCACATTCAGGAAGGCCAAAGGGCCACCTCTGTTCTGTTACTGCACATCCTAGCAATCAGTATTTAAATTTGAGACTCTGTTTCTGCAATTCCCACAGCCCACAAGCAAATCCAGTTGGCATTCTAGAGCTTGGTACTGACATTGAGGAAAAAAGTGGGGAAACACAGGCTGGACAAAGTGGTGGAAGAATAAGGTCAACTTTTCACTGTGTATTTTCCAATGTGGTTTCCAGGAACGATTGCTGTAAAAACAGGGCAAGCCTGCCTGCTGTCTTGTTTTGATTTCTAAAGAGATGGCTCTGGAAACATCTATCTATCGAGGCTTTGTTAATAAAAAAACAAAATGTTTGGGCATGGTGGCTCACGCCTGTAATCCCAGTACTTCAGGAGGCCAAGACTGTTGGATCACGAGGTCAGGAGATCGAGACCATCCTGGGTAACACAGTGAAACCCCGTCTCTAAAAAAAAAAAAAAAAAAAAAAAAATTAGCCAGGCATAGTGGCACGCGCCTGTAGTCCCAGCTACTCAGGAGGCTGAGGCGGGAGGATCCTCTGAGCGTGGGGAGGTCAAGGCTGCGGTGAACCATAACAGAGTCCCTGCACTCCAGCCTGGGCAACAGAGCGAGACTCCATCTCAAAAACAAAAATACCCCAACAACAATGAAAAACCACACACACACACAAAACCCTGTCGTTCTTCTTCAGTGCCCCGCCAGGGTTCATTTTCTTTGTGACAGAGCGTAGGGGAGTTTAGGTCATCATACAGACCTGCCCTTGGCTCTGCAGTGGTCAGCACCTTTCTCATTTTCTTTGTCCAAGTCCCTATCAGTCTAGCTTGAGTTCATCTCTCATGTCTTTAATGAAGCCTCCTCTGACTACACTGTTTAATACTTAGTCTGCCCCGCAAGCTCCCTCGACATGCCTACCTTGCTCTACTTTTTCTGTTTCCTATGCCCCAACACATAAAACATTTATTCTCTGTTAATACAACATAAAATAACCTTTACATTTTGATGATGGTTTACTGTCTGTCTCCATCCCCACTCCAGTCCCCAGCACATAAACTCCACACCTGCAGACAGAATATGGATGGTTGCTTCTGCAAGCCTTCCCTTCCAAGGCTGGGAATTAAAGTTCAAAGAGGGTCTTCCCCTCATGCTGCTTCTTCCTGCACGGCAAAGCTTGAAGGCTTGACCTAAACAGCTATGCCAATGGATGATGAGTGATTGAATGTGATTTTTCAGATGCCTGAGATTTCCACCCAGGGCTCCTTCACCCCTTTTCCTAGCTCACAGGGCTAACTCACATTGACCTGGCTTTTTCCCATAGGCAGAGGAGCCAACAT